ACACACACACACACACACACGTGTGTGTGTGTGTGTGTGTGTGTGTGTGTGTACATACTAGCGTATATCCCAAAGAGGCAGAAAAGTGTGGTCAAGGCAGTCAAACCTTGGTAAATTCTTTTGTGAACCAATCAAAATTAAGATCATTCATGAAATGAATTCGTGGCGTATTCAGAGAATCATTATTGGTAAAAATCAGTTAGATGAACAACTTCTAATATATAGAAAGGCCAGTGCGTTTTGGTAACACTATGTCCCAACAATGTTTTTTTGTTTAGCAACAAAAGTATAACCTAATATTGTTGTTAGTCTATGTACTGGTTATATTTCCATATCGTTTCGTATAAAATTTATTAAACACTACTTTTTTTCCATCCTTTATACAACATAAATATGTATTTACACAGATGTGTAAAAATGTTTAAAAGACGTGTACGCGGTTTCTAATTTACTATCATTCACACTCACTCAAGGTGATTACTACCCCTATTTTCAACATATATTTGGACCTGCCCACGTTCCGTTAGGACTAATTAAGAGCTTTAATTCATAAAATTTATATATTACTTGTAAACTCTACGTAATATTAATAAAACAATGTCATAAATATGACTTGATATTACATTTTAGTAGTATTACGTTAAATTTAAATGTCAAATTGAAAACAGAACAGGTACTTTTAGCTTACCATCTAGAATATCTGTCAGCTGGTAGTACACAAGATGTAGACAAAACAACCAACAACATTATCAGGACTTTTTAATAAATTGTACTTGAGTTTAGTTTTTGATGTCCTATAAAATAGAACAATTGTGAAAACCAGTAAAAGAACGTGAATAACGAAGGATAAATTGATGTATTGTTGACAAGTGTTTATGCAACATAGGCGTATAGCCCGATAAAAAGATGGGGCAAGTACTATCACACCCTCACATAATATATCCCAACCTCACAATTCACAGCTAACTGAATTAAATAAATTTTGCGAAATCAAGCTCAACCAACAAATAGACACTCAAAAGCCAGTGTGTTTTGGTAACACTACGTTCTATCAATGGATTTTGTCATGTTGCTTAGCAACAAAAATATCTAACCAGTGTGTGTGTCACATCATGTCACGGTTAATTACTCGAAATAGGAGTCATAAAAGCCAAAATGCATTTATCCAAATAGAATAGTTCGATTACTGTCTGCCCATTACGATTTTAGTGACGAGGGTGCAATGGGGCCGTGAAACGTTATAAGTGTAGCAAGTGTTGGTATAAGCCTAAACTAAAGACTAGTATGGGATCACCTAGCCTAGAACCAAGTTCATGTATCTTGAAAGTAAAAATATCGATTCAATTTTAAACTTAAATCATTTCTGAATTAAGCTATTTTCTGTTATATCACCAACGTTCTGAATAAGAAACAAACCTGTTTAATCAATGGAGACCCTAAATTAGGAAATCAACAAATATGTTTAAGTTTTTTGTCTATACGTATCATTTTATACATTTTGATAAAACGTTTAGAAAAATCTCTCCACTATGCACAAGAAATTTTGAAAGACAACAAAAAATTTCATTTTATACTTTAAGTACATAGACTAACAACAATATTAGGTTATAATTTTGTTGCTAAGCCATAAAAGCTATTGTTGGAACGTAGTGTTACCAAAACGCACCGGCTTTTCTATATATTAGAAATTGTTAATCTGACCAATAATTATTCTATTAATACGTCACGAATTCATTTCTCACAAAGGAATTTGCCGACGTTTGACGACCTCGACTGCACTTTTCTGCCTTTTTGTTGGTCATGTTTGATTTCGCAAAATTTATTTATTTCAGTTAGCTATGAAATGTGAGGATAGGATATACTATAGGGTGGGGGTGGTAGTACTTGTCCCGTCATTTTGACGGACTATACGTTAGCAACCTAATATTGTTGTTAGTCTATGTACTGGCGTATAAAATGAAATGTGGACAACAAAACAGGAAAAATATTTGTTGATTTCTTAATTTAGAGTCTCCGTTTATTACGGTCCCCCGGTGGGACAGCGGTAAGTCTTCGGATTTACAATGCTAAAATCAGGGGTTCGACTCCCCTCGGTGAATACAGGCAGATAGCCGGATGTGACTTTGCTATAAGGAAAACATAAAAACCGTTTATTAAAGAGGTTTATTTAAAAAAAAAACGTTGGTGATATAACAGAAAATAGCTTATCAATTGGAAGACTTGAATCAATATTTTTACTTTCTTGATAAATCTTATGCACCTGGCTCTAGGAATACGTAGTAACGTCTTCAAAAATGTGCACAGGATGTACGACCTACCGTAACAAACTATATTTCTCGTTTAGTCAGTTGTAACTGCATGATAAACAGACTGTTGTTAAAAAAAAAAAAAGAGTTTAAACTTTAGCTTTGGTAACACAGTAACAATTAGTAGCGCAAAGTATGGGCTTTTGGTAGCAGAACAAAAATAACAAGGTATAGTAACAATACAGTAATAAATTATCATGAACTTCTAATCAAAGCA